CGCATCATCATTGATAAAATCCTTCACTTTCGATAATTCCACGTTTCATCGTTGTATCGTCATTAAAGTATTCTCTCATCGATGAAAAGATCCGACATAGACAAAAAAATTTATTCAAACGTTGCAGGGGGAGAGAAGTTGAAGCCCAATATCAGGCGGGCGTCCGGTTTGTTGTCCTACCCAAGGGTCGGTCGATCGAATGCGCCCATTTCGAATCTGAATTTCAACCGACGTGGCATGGAGCCGGACACAGATTTTCAATTTTACAGCGCCGAGTTGGACCCGGCCCCGGACAAAGATTACGAAGGTGAAGTATCGCCAATAACATCGAAAACGTGAGCTCCCATACCCTACACCGCAATCCCATTTTACGTGTACTTTGTCTTGTTTAGTGACAGATGGCCAATACCACGCGCCATTTTGCGTACAGAGTGTCCCACTTAAATGGCAACCAGAGCATTTCCTTCCATTTTCTCCATTTTTGACATCCCGTGTTAGATAATCCGTTTATATCGTTGCAATCACGTCAATCTTGTCGTGGTGTTACGTGCTTTTGAGGAATCGTTTTTTTGACGTCGTTGAGAAGATTGAAAATTGAAGATTGGACGGAATATATTGTTAGAGGGTAGGAGGATGATAATTTCTGTAATTATAAGTAAATAGGTATAATTTTTGTTACGCAGGAGAGTTGGATGGTGGAGGAGAAATGGTGGATGATTGGTCATACGATAACATGGAATTAGGATGATAAATTATCATTCGATATTATTTTAAAGATGGCGAATTTCTGTGATGAGATTTTTATTATAATTGTAACGTAGAATATATTTTAATTGAATTGAACGAATCATTCGAAATAATGAATTACATTTTCAAATAAAATTTCTTCTGAAGACAGTACATACGAAAATTTATATTTCTGACGTGGTTGACGATATTGACAGAATTATTTGAAAAGATATTCGATCGAATAAAAAGTAAAGTGAAAAGTAATCCGAAGAAGAATCATTCCTCGTTCGAATAATTATTTCGCCTTTGAGCCACGAAGCTAGAAAATTAATGTCAATTATGGAAAGGATCGAAGAATTTACATAAATAATTCGATCACACGTGTATTTATTATTAAAAGAAAAATTGGCACTAGAAAAAACAATACAATAACATCACTTTTTGAAAATAGAATTATATATTTTCGATTTAAATTGTATTGTGAAAATAGGAAGAATAAAGTCATAGCCTAGATCCTAGAAAGATGACAGATCATTGATCGAAATTGATTCACAAATTTACAAAGCAAATAACATCTCGTTGAAAATGAAAGATCCAACCAAAATGGAACTAGGATGAATTTCAAAGTATCATTCCGTTGATAACTTGTCCTATTATCCTGTTCCCCTATTGTATCAATAATTCGTCAAGGATTCGAAATCAAAGATCGAAGGGAAACTGAGAAAGGGAACTTCATCGAAACTTCGATATCAAATTTCTATACGTGTGATACAACGCGATAGTTTCTCGATTTTACGATCAATTTCATTTCCAACAATCATTGAAATCGTGTTTATTCCAAATTTCAATTCTCGAAATTGGATTTTAATAGATACGCACTTGGCATAAATTACCATAATTATCTCCAGATTCCCCAGCTCCAAAATCTCTCGGGAGATCGATGTACACCAAACATGCAGACAGAATTCCTAAGGAAGCGCCCTGGCTAATCTTAGATCGTCCTCGTCCGTCCAAAGATGGATCTTGGAAGATCGACGAAGGAAGATCCATATATCCGGCCGCGTTCCTATTGAATTCAGGTATGAAATATCAAACAAATTTGTTTAGATATTTTTCTTTTGAAGATTCATTCGAATGTACTTTGCATATTTTATTAAATGTCGACACTTTTAATTTCTGAAAATATTTTTTGTTCTTATTTTCCTTTTATTTCATGTGATTTTTTCATTGATTTAACTCGTTATTCGATAGTATTCAAATATGAAATTCAAGTATCGAACAAATTTAGTAGATTTTTCTTTTGGAGATTCATTGGAATCTTGTACTTTGCATATTTCGTTTATTAAAATGTTGATACTTTTAGTTTCTGAAAATATTTTTCGTTCTTATTTTCCTTTTATTTCATGATTTTTTCATTGATTTAATTCGATAGTATTCACGTATGAAATCAAAGTATCGAACAAGTTTGTTTAGATATTTTTCTTCTGAAGATTCATTCGAATGTACTTTGCATATTTTATTAAATGTCGACACTTTTAATTTCTGAAAATATTTTTCGTTCTTATTTTCCTTTTATTTCACGTGATTTTTTCATTGATTTAACTCGTTACTCGATAGTACTCAAATATGAAATTCAAGTATCGAACAAGTTTAGTAGATTTTTCTTTTGGAGATTCATTGGAATCCTGAACTTTGCATATTATATTTATTAAAATATCGAACACTGACACTTTTAATTTCAGAAAATATTTTTCGTTCTTATTTTCCTTTTATTTCACGTTACTTTTTCAACTAATTCGTTACTCGATAGTTGAATGATAGTTTTTCGATCGTGTTTCAAATTTCAAATAAAAGAATCGTGCATTTTTATTATTCCAACGTTTCGCCATTTAGATATACACGCAGTGAAAGTTGAACGCCATGGTTACGTGATCGAGGAACAAAAGCGCGAAATATTGGATCGCGAATATTCGCGTTGACACGTGGCCTAAATGCCAATTTAATTTTTCCCCTCGTAGAGATATTATTTCAACTCTGTCATCATCGGAATGATAAAAGCGCAAAAGCGGATTCGTGAATAAAACATGGTATTAATGTGTTATTATATACCGGTTAAAATTCAATAATGAAATGGTTGCCCGTCTCACAATTATGACAGGTTTTTGATCGTTGGGATGGGTAATTTTAATTTTTGTTCTAGCTTTAAAGAACAGAGGGAGGAAATATCGGTCATTTCTTCAAAATTGTTTCAATTATACATTTTAAGTTGGATATATAAAATTTTGATGAGGCAAAAATTTCATTTTGATTGTTGCTTTTCGCTACGTTTATTATCTTTGTATCGTTCAGTTTCGTTATACAAGCTTTGATCGTGATAGTTTTAATACATCGATTTTTTAGAATGGATAAAGATGTTTCGTTTCTATTTTTCTTTGATTAAAATAATGATTTGATCAATGAAAAATTTGATAAAGTTTTGTTTGTGTATCGAAAATTGCATTTTAAAATTGAATGGAATAGATTAAATAGATGTCACAATAGAATTGTAGTAGAATTTTTTCGAGATATCCGAAAAAATGTTTTTATAAACCCATTTAATTTTATTTTATTTTCATTCGATATTTTATTTTGCACAGCACGCCAATTAACGTTTCAGATTTCCACTACGAATTTTAGTTACGGATGCTATTTGGCTTGCTAATAAATAAAGTGATAAAAAGTGATTTATCAAAAGATAAATCTGTGAATTTGAAAAACTTTTTGAAAATACTTTCAATTATACAAATTATATATAAAAAAGATTTTACCTTTTGAATTATTCTATAAAAATTCTAAAGTGTTCATCTTATTATTTTTTTTAGTATGATAATTAAAGTGAAGTTTGAAGACAAACTCTGCAAGATAAATTAATTCTTCCTTCCAGTTCCATTCAAATTACAAATTACTTTTTATATCCATTCCAGTAATGCACTTCCAAGTATCCTTTTTTTCATTGAAAAAGAATTTAGAAAATCTTGTAAACATCTAGAATCCTTTTATCCATATAAAACTTCAATTACTCTTCTTTTATATTCATCTCAAATATACTCTATATTCTAGTTTGATCATTCACAATTCAATTACTACTAATTAACAATATTCTAATTTTCCATACACTATTTTTCTATATATACAGAAAGAAAATATGTTTTATATTTATTATTATATTATATTACATTTATTATTATTTATATTTTTCTATATATACAGTGTGAAAATATGTAGTATGGGCTCATACGCTTAACATTAGTAAAATATTAAAATTCAATTTACTACACACAA